AAAATAAAGTTATAATATTAAATTATATTATTTTACTTAATAAAAAATTATTTTATTAATTATTAATATTTAAATTTAAAAATTGATTATATAAAAATTTAATGAGATGATATTTCAATATAATGAATTTTTATATTGAAATATATAATGAATTTTTAAATATAAATATTAATATTTAATGAGATGATATTTCAATTTTTAAATGTAAGGTAAGACTTAAATTATTTTTGAGAGTTAAGATTAATACATACTAATATCTTTTATTTATTTATTTATTTATATATAAAAATTAAGTATTAAATTTTAAATTCATTATTAAAAATACATATAATTTTACTATTAAATTATGTTATTAATAGTAAATGTTTTATCTATATACTAGAAAACATTGCGCAATATAGTTAACATATTGTTTTACATAATTATAATGATGTGAAGATACACGAGTTCTACAATATACATATATATATTTTAAAATTCACTCCATTCAACAATTGTAATTCTATTTTAATTTTTGGATTTATTTTATAAAAAATTAGGTAAAAATTTATCATAACATACAAATGCTACTAAAAAAATTTTCTTTTCTTATATATAGTTCTTGTTTAGTAGTTTCATTTAACAAAAAATTATTTAAATTGTAATTTACATGCTCTATATGTTTAATTTTTAATTAAAATTTTTGTTTTATATGTTAAAAAGTAAAGTTAGAACAATTATTGTTAAATAGAAAGAGTAATAAATATTAGGTCATTCATTACAAAACAATTACTTTCTTCTATTTTAAAATAATTGTAGTTTTTTATTTTAAATTTATCTAAATTAATTATCATTTTTTTATTTTTAGGGTAGATAAATAATTTTCCTACTTTAATCCTATCATTATCTAATTTACTTTGATTAATAATATTTTAAAAAGTCTCACTTTATCTTTTAGCTATTTTTTAAAAGTAATATTGATAAATTTATAAATTGTTCTTGAATTCTTAATTTAGAGAAAAAATAAAAAAACAACAATTATTTTAAAAAGAAAAGGATTATGTTTTTACATCTTTACTTGACAATCAATACAATTTAATCAATTAGAATTTGAGGTTAAGATGGCTTGGAATTTGCAAGTTGGCACTTGCACAAGTTCTAAGGCTCAAATGCTTCAAGCCAAGATGTAAATTAAGCCTAAGAAATGGGGTGTGCGTGTCTTCATTTGAATTCCATTGCATTGGAATCTCTCATATTCCTTTTCACATTTTCAAAGAAGAAACAAGAAGACTATATTGATGATTATCCCTACCCACCCAGCAAGAGATTTCTGGGTGTCCCAAGCTTACATGTGGTGCACTTGCAAGTCAAAGCCAGAGACCCATCACCAGAAAAGTCTACATCCAACAAAACAATTTGGTTGTATTCGCCTAAAAAAATTACTCATGCCAATGAGTTAAAGGGTTTAGGTGTAATTTTATTTTTAAGTGAAAACAAAAGATTTTAATTTCAAGTCGTATGATATGCATATGATGTGAGTTAAAGCTTAAAAGATAAAAAAACGTTGTTTTTTATTATACAACCCAAAAGTAATAAATAAACATACATATATATGAATAGAGATTAACATACAACTTAAGTCCTGCACATGATTTTTACACAAATTTTTGATCGTTTATTTCTCTAACATTTAAAGATTATGTTGTTTTAATAAATTTTTATTGAAAAATATTAAAATAATTTATTTTTAAAGCATGAATTAGACTATTTCCATCTTCTCTCATGATACTTTATTGAATAATGTGATTTTGAGTTGTTTCCTTCTAATTTTTTAAAAGTCTGGATGTTAAAAACTCTTTTTCTCTATATATGTAACTTATAAGATTTGACATAAACGTTGAATCTAATAATAAATGCGTTTTGTACGTTAAGTTCAAGTTTAAATGTAGGGTTAGCACTTAAAGAAAATGGTGCAACTAATAGTAAGTATATATGCAGTTAAAGAAATTAAACCATCCAAATATACAAGTCATCCACTAATTAAATCTCTAATATTGGGTTATGTAGACAATTAACCATCAACAAGAACTTGATGAAATATTTCAAAAAAATTATACAAAGACGACTAACCAAAACCTTGGTTTAAATTAAAAGTTTAAATTTTTATAATATTAGGTTAATTAATTTTTTAATATTATATATATATAAAAAGATAGCTAACCAAATGTTTCAATAGAGTTTTAGAAATAAATATTTGAACTCAATCATTTAGAAAATAAAATATAGAAACTCAATTACTATAGAGAAGTTAGTTGAGATGCAATGTGAATTGAGATGTAATGTGAATATAGGGCGAAATCAAAGAAAGAAAGCATCAATGTTGTTTACCCAAAAAAGAGAGGGTGACATGTGATTTTGGTGGTTGAAGTTCAACCATGCACTGTGGACTCCACATATTCGCTCGTAATTTGCTTAACGCTGACTTAACAACTGGGAATTGGACCCACGGGGTGCAGTCCACGCAGGCAATGCAATCAACATTTCCATGAAAGCATATTAATTAATTAAACAACCTGAACCAGCCGGTATAAAGAAACAAAGAGAGTTCTACAATAAAAGCTTAACAAACTAACAACTTCAAGTTAGCTCAAAAGAACATCTCGAAGTTAAGATAGCTAGCGCTAGCTAAACTTGTAAGCTTTTACCATAATCAATGGAGGAGATTCCTTCAAAAAGGGTTTAAAGTTGTAAAGCATTAGCTAAACTTTAAGGTCATCGTTATTATCATGTAACAGATTATTGGGACCATACAAAATTTTAAATGTTATATTTAAAATATTAATTTTGTTTAATTTGATTGCTAGAGATAATTAATACTTGAAGTTATTATTTAATAAAAATAATTAAATAATTAATATTGCTTATTTTTTTGAATAGGTTGACAAGAGGTTGGGTCGAACCCAGCCCAAGAAAGGGGAGAATACACCGTGAGGTGATTATTATCACTTGGTCCAAAGGCTCGATGCAATTAATATTGATTATTTAATAGATTAAAATCAATATATATATTAATATTTTTAAATATCATAAGGTTCATAATTGACTATCTATAAAAAAAAATTACGTGACTTTAATCACTTCAAAACTTTAGTGGAGTAATGGTATTTTCATTTTTCTTTACGTTGCTACCTTAATGGCGTAATTAATAGTAAGTACGTATACATAGACCCTATAATACTGATGACTTATTTAAGAACCCATTGCTTAATTAAGTTAATTCCTTTCCTATTTGGTTTGATTTCCATACCAATTTATTGTCTGATGACCCATGTTCTAATGCCATCTTGTTTGCATATATATATATATATATATAATTCTCTGTTTTATAATTCATGTAATTTAAATTATAAAATATTTTTTTATAAATATATTATATAAAAAAATCAATTTAAGAAATAATCAAGTTTTTATTTTTATTTTAAAATTTACAAGACAACCTTACATCCCATTCTTTAACTTATTTTATTAATATATTATACAACTCAAATTAAAAAAACTCTTACTTTTACTAATAAAAATTTCGTAACTTTTAAAACTTTATTATAAAATACATAGCTTGTGATCTACGGTTGAGATAAATAAGTTACGAAAACAATGCAAGTAAACGGGTAAAAATGTGATTTTCAAGCTAAACTGTTGATTTAAGCTGAAGAAAATTATTTTTTTAAAATAAAATTTTAAATTTAAATGCCATAAATAAAATATAGATGTCATTATAGGAGTTTTTTTTTTTAAATTTAAAATTATTTGATATTAAATTAATTAAAATTTAATATAATTTTTAAATAATAATATATTAATAAAAAAATTATATTCAAATGTCCCAAAAAAAAATCCAAAACACAATAAAACTCCAAAGATGAAGTCAACTACCTCGTTATTACTTACGCCGTTACATCCAGACTACCTACGATGTCTTGTCTACCGCCTTTAACCCTAGTTAGTTTAGTTAACCCAAACACATCAACCCCCAGCCCAACGTATACCTCCCCCCCTCCCTTTTGTTTTTATCTTCCTCTTTCTCTTTCCCCCAAACAGCACTTAGCCCACTCTCTCTCTCTCTTTCCCTGTCTCTCCACTCTGTAACAAGCACACTGCATTCCATTTTTCCGGAAACAAAATCCCTCGAAAAATCTTCGTTTTCTCTCTCCAATTCTTGAATCTCCATTTGTTTACCTGTTTCTGTTTCTAGATTTTTTGCAAAGATTCGGAACAGATTGTCTTCCAGTTTTGGTTTATTTTCTTTCCCCCAGAGAATCCGAGGATTTTTTTTGAAAAAGATTTTTTTGTTTTTTTTTTGTTTTTTTTTGCCTTTAAATTAAGCTGATAGGGAGAACCATCTTGGAATTTTTTGTGGGTTTCGAGTAGAGGTTGTTGTTCTGTTCTGGTTTTTGAGTTTCGAGAAATGGTGGTGAAGATGATGAGGTGGCGGCCATGGCCGCCTCTGGTTTCGAGGAAGTACGAGGTCAGGTTGGTGGTGCGGAGGTTGGAGGGGTGTGATCTGGCTGAGAAGTGGGAGAGATTGGCTGTGGAGATTCGATGGAAAGGGCCAAAGGCGGCGCTCAGTTCCTTGAGGCGTACGGTCAAGAAGAACTGCACTAAGGAAGTGAATGGGGTGGGTGAAAACGGCATCATAGAATGGAACGAGGAGTTTCTGAACCACTGCACCCTAACGGCCTACAAAGATAATGTCTTTCACCCATGGGAGATCACTTTCACCCTCTCCAATGTGAGACTCTAATTTCAATTTTTCTGGATGCTTTATGGTATATTTTTGTGATTAATGTTTAATTTTTAGCTGTTTTTAGTTTATTAATTAATCTTATTATTGTTATTTTCATTCAATTTGGTTATTGATTTTGAGATATTGTGTGTGCAAGATTGGAACTTTTTGGAAAAAAAATTGAGATGAACTTTATATTAAGCAGGATTTGAACCAGGGTCAGAGGGGCAAGGTTCCTGTTATTGGAACAGGATCAATGAACCTTGCTGAGTATGCTTCTGCAGCGGAAGAGAAAGAGTTTGAGCTTAGCATCCCACTCTCACTCTCTACTGGTGCTGCTGAGCCATGTACCCAACTCTATGTATGTGAACAAAATTTGATGGCCATTGCTGTTATGTTTGGTTTGGCATTTTCTTATTTTGAGTTTGTATGATCATGCAGGTATTGCTCAGCATGTTGGAACTGAGAGCTGCTGCTCAAGAAGTCGTGGAGCCAGTTCAGAGAGCTATAGTGCCTGTTGTGTCCCCTACTCGAGCAGGAGAAACTGTGTTGGTGGAAAAGGATGAGGTTTCTGCACTTAAAGCTAGTCTTAGAAAAGTGAAGATTTTTACTGAGTATGTTTCCACTAGGAGAGCCAAAAAAGCCTGCCGTGAGGAGGAGGGTAGTGAAGGCAGGTGTTCTGCCAGGAGTGATGGTGAGTATCCTTTTGACTCGGACTCACTTGATGACTTTGAAGATGGTGAATCGGATGAAGGGAAGCAGGATGCTGCTGTTAGGAAGTCATTCAGTTATGGTACGCTGGCTTATGCAAATTATGCTGGAGGATCATTTTATTCTAGTATGAGGATCAATGGTGAAGATGAGGATTTGGTATACTACAGCCATCGTAAATCAGATGTGGGCAGCTCACATGTTGAGGATTCAGCTGCATCAGCCTTTGACCCATCATTGTTGCAAAGTACAAAGCGCAGCATACTTCCTTGGAGAAAAAGGAAGCTAAGCTTCAGATCTCCTAAAGCCAAAGGTGAGCCTTTGTTAAAGAAGGCTAATGGAGAGGAAGGTGGGGATGACATCGATTATGATCGCCGGCAGCTTAGCTCTGATGAAGCTCTTTCCCTTGGGGTAAGAATCGCTTGAGCCCCAGTCTTTTCTTTATCTCATTTTGGGTAAAATGTCAATTAAACCTCATTGGTTATTTTGATAGCTTATGTTGAATGCTTTCTTGATTATCAATTCCCTAGTGTAAATTGCCAGATCTGATCTTTTATATAATGTACATACCAATGCATATGCATGCATGAACACACATGCGCATCTATAAACTGATACATGAACACTCTGTAAGATTTGACTCTTACCTATCCTATCCCAACCTATCCTATCCCATCTGATCTCTTTAATTCTCCTTCTACTGTCAGTGACTCAGTAAGGATTTAAACCCTCTAAACCCTTAATTTGGTCTATCATTTATAACAAAAATGTTAACAATTTTGTGAATTTATACTGTTAGTGTCTTTCTTAGTTTGTGACAAAGAAAAGTAAAACAAAATTCTAAACTTTAAACAACCTATTCAGAGTTTATAATAAGGCATATCAAGTTCTGACATGGAAATTCTTTCGTTTCTAGGATTCATCTGGGAATTGCTCATCAGTCTCCGAATTTGGAGATGACAATTTTGCTATAGGTAGTTGGGAACAGAAAGAAGTGGTCAGCCGTGATGGACATATGAAGCTTCAAGCCAAGGTGTTTTTTGCTACAATTGACCAGCGTAGTGAGCGTGCAGCAGGAGAAAGTGCATGTACGGCTCTTGTTGCAGTTATTGCTGATTGGTTTCAAAACAACCGTGGGCTTATGCCTATTAAGTCCCAATTTGATAGCCTGATCAGAGAAGGCTCGTTGGAGTGGAGGAATCTCTGTGAGAATGAAACTTATAGAGAGAGATTCCCTGACAAGCACTTTGATCTTGAGACAGTCCTTCAAGCAAAGGTTCATTCTCTTTCTGTTATGCCAAGGAAGTCCTTTATTGGATTTTTCCATCCAGAGGGGATGGATGAGGGAACATTTGACTTGTTGCGTGGTGCCATGTCATTTGATAACATTTGGGATGAGATTAGCCGTTCTGCTGCAGAATGTCCAAGCAACAGTGAACCTCAGCTTTACATAGTCAGTTGGAATGATCATTTTTTCATACTCAAGGTTGAACCAGAAGCTTACTACATCATTGACACGCTAGGTGAGAGGCTTTACGAGGGATGCAATCAAGCCTACATTTTGAAATTTGACAGCAGCACTTTAATTCACAAGCTGCCAAATGTTGCTCAATCATCAGCAGATGAAAAACCAACTGGTGATCAGCAGATGGCAGCCACATCAGTTGAATCCAAGAGTCCACAGGTTCAGCCAGTCAGTGGGAAGGATGGTTCCATTGCAGCATCAGAAGTGACTGACTATGAGGAATCAAGTGATGGGAATGCAGAGGTTGTGTGCCAAGGGAAGGAGTGCTGTAAGGAATACATAAAGAGCTTCTTGGCTGCCATACCAATCAGGGAGTTGCAGGTGGATATCAAGAAAGGTCTAATGGCATCAACACCTCTTCACCACCGACTACAGATTGAATTTCAGTACACTGAACTTGCCGAGATTTCCACATTTCCAATGATGACTACAGCCACACCCCCTTCCATTGAATTTCCCTTTACAGAAGTCGCTGCATAGAGACTGTAAATTGTAGGAAAGCCAAGTGCCAGTACTCTGATTTTGTTTTTTCCTTTTTGGAATTTCCTTTTACCATGCATATCTTATAATTTCAATGGGATTAGCAAAGACGATCTCATTTGAGCTTTTCAAGAGATTTAGCTAATAGAGATAACGGCAGAATTTCTCTAATTATTGTGTTGATTTCATGGTAATTGGTAATCACACACTATTCTCCTCCTCTTGGAATGTGTGCAATTCTTGTATATATGCGGGTATGGAGAATGGAGATACCCCAAGTATTGACTGTTCTTAAAAATGGTATTATGGCTCTATTTTCCCCGATAAATTGATGACTGCAATCCGATTGCTACTGGAATTGGAATATGAATATCCTTTTCCCTGTATACTCCTGTAATGTGTAAAGACAACTTTTCTCAAGGATGGTTTCCATTCCAATGATGGGAAAAGAAGATTCTCCAACTTGTATCTCCCTTATGAGGTAAAACTTCCATTCTAAAGCTCCTTTTTCCTTTTGGCTCTAACTTGAATTGCAATATTGAGTCTTGAGAATTGAGTTTGAGTGAGGGTTTCCATCATACACTCTCTCACCTTCTGCTACAGCAAGTTGGGAATATACCCTCTACATGTTAATCAAGATTTTGAGAAATTTTGTGGCTAAAAACAACCTTGGCATGAGGACGATGATGACTAAGCTATGAAGTGCTTTTGACTGATTCCCACTAACATTATATATATATATATATAAACTGGTTGACGTTACGCCATTTAATTTTAGCCAAACGCTATATGAGTTATGGATAATACATTGTATACCCAGGTTATGATTTCTGCATGTTTTTTCAAAATTGCTATTATTATTATGGAAGACCTGACCATTGGTAGTGAAAAGTATAACGCGAGGGAGGATGTTAATTGTTGGGATAATAACTCAATACTTTAATTAGGTTCTAAAAAATTATAAATGAATTTTAAAAACTTATAAAAATTTAAACTTTAAACTTAAAAAAAATTGAACCTTTGAATAAATAAATTTAAAACTTTTTTTTTAGTAAAATATTTTAGGTTAGTTTAGTTAATATATATTTTTTAGGAGAGTCAAAGTCATGATTAATGTGCATTCCACTTGCTGTCTAATAAGCAACGTGACCACCACTGAGTCACATGAGAGATTCCAAATAACTTTAAAACTTAAAAAAAAAAAGTTCAACACTTAGATGAATGACACTTATTATCAAAATTTAGCCATATAGACTCCAATTCTTTAAGTAAAAGATTATAAAAACCCCCAAGTACCATCTTACAAAAGTATTAACACACTGTCTCTCTTCACTTAATGCATTTGAGAGCTTCTCTCTCTAAACCTTGTTCTCCTAAGGTATTGTTGACATATACATCATAATGTTTACTCAAAGAAACCTCATTGGGTCTATCTTGCAGGACTACTCGGTACCAGTCAAAGGAATTGTTCAAGTTTATGCAGCAACATTAGCTAGGATGGTCGATTAGTTCTAGTAGTGACTTACAAATTAATTGCCTATCCATAAGTCTTTTAAAGCTAAATGAATATTCTATTTAATTGCAAGCGAATGACCTTGTAATTTTCTTTTTAGTAGTAATCTTTTGAGAAGAGCATGAAAGATTGAAGTTAAAGTTATATAACATGGGAATGAGGCAAATAAAGATGAAAAAAATTTAAAATTAAGTACATGAATAACACATGATTTAGAAGAATAATAATAAATGAAATGAGAATTTTGGTATTAATGATGTGATGTAAAATATTAAAAGATAAATATTATAATATTTAATAATTAATTATTTTATTTTTAAAAAAATTCATGATATTATATATTTTAATTTATTTAATAATATAACTTATATTACATCATTGATCTCAAATTTTTGTTATCACTGTACAGTCAATTTAGAATAAGGGTAAAAAATTTTGATTATTGGCAACAGGTTTGGAGATACCTCTTTGAGGAGGCAAATTTCTGACTTGGATGAACTAAATAGCTAAGACAATCTCCCTTGATTATTCTTCACCTCGCTAGAATTAAGGCCTGAGTTTAAGCATATTTTCTCGTCAAGGTGGATAACCATGTTTCTTGCTACTGAACTTAGGCTTTGTTTGTTATTTTGTATAGATCTTTTTTCACACAACACTTAATCTAAAATTATAAATTTATAATTTTAATTCATTTTTAATATATTTTAATTAATTTTATTAATTATAATTAATATTTTATATATTTTTAAAATAATAAAAAATAAAATCTATAACTATAGCATAACACAATACTGAAAAATTGAACTTTAGGCTCAGCTAGCTCAAACATTAACCTCTATTTTTTGTTATGATCAAGACAAATTTATTAATCATCTTAGATTTATATTGAATTTTGTCTCATATATTTTGGACCTTATTGCATTCAATTTGGTCAGGCTCTTTGTGAAAGGTAAAGTTCAATTTTTATTTATGAGGGTATAAGAGTCAAGGGAACTGCAAACTCATTACAAAGATACCCTACCCTGCCAGACATTAGAAGTTTAGAACCTGCTTAGCTACAATATCCTTCAATAAAATTGATAAGAACACTATCACCACTTGCCTTTTAATACTACTAGATAACCCTTTTTTAAAAAAAAAAAAAAAATTAAATTGCAAAATAAAAGATAATTCTATTCCATTCCTTAATTCTATCCATTCACATGTCATACAACTCTAACTCACCTCTTACTATCATTGAACCATTTAGATCATTGATAATACTAATAGATAACTTCAAACCCCATATCCTTATCTTTTTTTCCCTACTGCTGCAATTCATCTTCAAGCAATCCGTCAGATTAATTATCCAATCCGATGACGAAAAGAAACAATTATCCAGTCTACCTTTAGTCCAGTTGAAAGAATGTACGTAGCTGAACCATCTCCAGCAAACCTTCCTGCATCGACCTTCTTTCTTTTGAAGATCTTCTCATTCCTAGCTAGCCACATGTAGATCATGTCAGTTAATCTCACTTTCACCCACATACTAACTATGTTGCTGATTATTACTTGCTAAAGATATAGTTGTTGGTCAATAAATAATAGCAAGGTGGGCCTTATCGGAAATATATATATGAAATCAGCAACAAGAAATATGTTGCTAAATCTTTAGCTAGTGAAAAATTATAGCAAGTTATAACACATTGTTGATATTTGTTTTAGCAACATATCCCTTGTTGTTGATTGTGAGGCTCACTTTTAGTTGGAAAGAGATACTATACAAGTATCAACAATATGTTCCTTGCCAGTAAAAAACACTATCACCAACAAACAAAGTTATGTTGCTGATAATTAGTTGCTAAAAATGAGAATTTTAGTAGTGACACCATCCAAACTATGGAGAACCAGATGCTGTCCCAACCAGCCTTCACAGACGCCCTCTTCACAAAATTGTCATGTTGTTCAAACACCCGCAAGCAGACGTTGTCCAGCACAGATGTGATCCCCCGCCAGTGGAAGCGTGCTTGCCCACAACCCAGCTACGGCCTTGCACAGGATAAATGGAATTAGGTCACAATTATTTTC